TCTGAATAGAGATAATTATCTCACTGAGGACCCTCACACACACACACACACACACACACCTGAGGTTAGTGTGTTAATCTGTGAGCTTCATTAAAACCCTGACGAGACAGAACAAAGAGCTGACTGCACCTGAACACAACACCAACTCATACTGCAACACACACACACACACACACAGCCTGTAAAACACACTCAGAGGAAAAGGTAAAGTCCTGAATCAGCGACAGTCCTGAACCTGGACACAGCAGGTCATCAGTGTGTGTTCAGTGTGTGTGTTCAGTGTGTATGTGGGTGTGTTCAGTGCCGTGCGCCGGCGCCCCCTGCTGGGCCCTCTGACCCCACAGCAGGCCAGGCGGTGAAGCGTCTTACCCAAGGACACAACCAGAGGCAGGTGAATCGGGAATCGAACCAGCAACCCACCGACTGCCACGTCATCTTCTAATCTTTGTGAGATGATGACGCCATGACCAGAACCATCAATCTATCAATCAATCTATCAATCACAGCAACATGATAACGCATCATGAAAATTAAAAAGTAGACATTTGTTCTTAACTCAAATCCAATTTAATCAATGAGGTTTTTGATTATTTCTCCAGCGATTGTTAATAATTCATATTTATTTATTGAACAGCAGCTGGAAAAGACCCGACGGTCCAGACTGAACCGGGGGACCCAGGGTCAGCCATCTTGTCTTCAGCCCACCCAGGGTCGGCCATCTTGTCTTCAGCCCACCCAGGGTCGGCCATCTTGTCTTCAGCCCACCCAGGGTCGGCCATCTTGTCTGGGTGGGCTGAAGACAAGATGGCTCTGCTCTTTGTGTATGAAATGCTCTGATTCCTGTAACTTTATTGTAATTATGTGATTTTAATTTTGTTCATTTTTAGGCTAAACATCTGGAGGAAGGGCTAGCGAGGAGAGCTAGCTTCTTTTAGCTAACTCTTCTACATTTCATGACACCATGTTCAGTCATCAGAACCAGCCTGGACCAACAGCAGATACATGGAACCAGTTGGAGGCCAGTTCATGTTCTGTGGCGGCGCAGCGGTTCAGCACAGCCCACATATGGAGGCCTTAGTCCTTGATGCGGCCGTCACAGGTTCGATTCCCGACCTGGTGACCTTTGGCGCATGTCTTTCCTGTCTCTCATTACCAACTTTCCTGTCAATTAACTATCAAATAAAACCTTTAAAAGAAAAAAAAAGAGACCGGTTCATGACCGGTTCCAAGGGTCCAGCTGCTGGTCCGGAACCGAGATTCTTCATCACTGCTGTAGAGCCTTCACAATCATCATCACCTTCATCAGAAGAGCCTGATGGTACCTGACCCCGCCCCCCCAGAGCTGTGGAAACGTCATTATTATTATTAAGAGCTCAGAGTTCCTCCTCTTTTTACTCCGTCATGGAAACGTTCCCATCTGACCCGGACCGGTACCAGACCTGACCCAAATCAGGAAATCAGAATCAAAGCTGCAGGATTCTGAAAATCAAATGAGATCAATGCAGCAGAACAGGAAGACCCAAACTCAACCAGGCGGTTCTGATGGATCTCAGCTCAGAACCTGGTTCTACTCGGATCTACTGGGTTCAACATGACCAACAGATCAGCTGGTTCTGGTTCTGATTGATGATCAATGAATTCTGCTTTAAGGAATAAAACCTGTTCTTGTTCTGACCCAAAGTTCTGCTGAGGAAGAGGGGAATGAGACCAGAACCGGAACCAGAACCGGAAGATCCCTCTCTGTTCCAACCTGGCGGTTCTTGCTGGGCTGCTTCTGGGACACGAACCGAACTGGAAGAGGAAACAAAGACTGCAGGATGTTTGAGGGCCGCTGAGTTTCCAGAACCTCCGAACCGAACCGACGGGCAGAGTGGAGGAAGAGGAGGAGATTTTCCAGCTGGAAACTTGGATGCCAACACTCAGAACTCCCCTGTTCCCTCCGCAGACGCCCCGGCCACCACCAGGTACCGAACCGAACCGTCTAATTACCTTGAAAGGTGTCCGCTCGCGCTCCCCGAACTCCCAGGAGAACCAGGACTAGAACCGCGGGCAGCAGGAAACTTCCAGTCCGCTCCATGATCTGGGAAAACTCCGGAGAACTCCGAGCCTCTTCCTCCTCCTCCTCTTCCTCAGGGGTTCTGGACTTCCCTCGCGCTCCAACACGCGCTCACGCGCACACGGAGGGACTGCGGCGCGCGGCCAGGTGAGCGTTCAGACAGGTGAGTTCGGCTCTTTGATCCTCCAGCTTGTTTCTGCGCTCGAGACAGACAGACGGAGAGCGCGAGACGCCGAGAGGGTGTACCGATGAGCTGGTGACGTCACGGGGGTCGAGAGAAACAGAGAGAGAGAGAGAGGGGAGGGGGGTCTCCAGGTTTTTAATTATTTTGTTAAAATCGGGAAACATTTATTTATTTCATAATTTGTTGAATATTTGTGGGAACTTTGAAGTTCTGCTGCGGTTCCGTTTGGACCTGGAACCGCTAGAACCCATAAAGTTTATCAGAACCATTTCCTCCGGTTCGGCCTCTGTCAGCAGGACCAACGTCTCACTGGTTCGGCCCGGTTCTGGCCTGGCTGTTTATGGTCCGGGTTTCATGTTTTTATCTGGCTTGATGAAAGCTGTGTTAGAAGCTGTTACATCGGTATTGGCCGGGTTCTGGTGTCATGACGTCATTCCGGGTCAGATGTTCCGGATCAATCAGAGTTCTGGTGAACTTTTCGGTGTTTGTGAAGCCGAATCGGAGCGGCTTCTGCCCCCTGCCGGCTGCTGTACGTCACTGCCCGGTTCTCCGGCTCTGAGACAGAACGTTCTTATATGAGGAGCAGTTCTTTTTTAAAACTAACCTGATCGTGTTAGTACACATGTTTCCGGTCCCTTTAACCTTATTTGGAAGTATAAACCAGGAGCACAACTGGAATAAAATGAAGAAATTGGATTCATAACTCAGTAAATTCTGACACAAAAGAGAAAAACTGGTTATTCTGGGCTTCACTTGTTCTTTAACCAAGAGAATAAAACTGTTCCTGCTGCGTCTCTACCGCCACCTACTGGACAGACACTGAGGTATTGCAGCACAATCATGATTCAAATCAAGTTTGTTTTATTAAATGAATTTTAAAATCAGAAAGACATTAAAGATGCGACTTTATGCTCATGAATTAATGTTTTCTGTGAAAAGCAAAAAAAGGTAAATAATGTGAATACATTAACAATAATAGGTTAATATTAAAAACTGCAGATGACTCAGTGATAGCTTTCTACATGACGAACATGCCGTGGCCCTGTGCTCCATGAGTTTGACTGGTGTGACAAAGCTTTTCTTTTATTACATGTACAGAAAACAAAGGACATGTGCAGTGATTTTAGACAGAAGCTCCATAACAACTCAAACAGTAATTAAAGGTCAGACAGTGGAGACAGTAGAGAATTACAAATATCTTGGGATTATTTTGGATAATAAGTTACAATTTACTTACCATTCAGAAATCCTGCAAAAAAAAAAAAAGTGCCAGCAAAGATTCTTCTGTCTAAGAAAGCTTGCAAAGTTTCAGGTTGAAAAGTCAAAGATGATCCTATTTTATAGATCACATATTGAGGTTTTCTCTCCTCTGTTGGTTTGGAAATCTTAGCATTCAGCAGAGTAATAAATGCTAGTAATAAGATCCTAGGAGTTGAACAATGCTCACTCACACAGCTGATTAAAAACACATCATCAGGGAAACTAAAGCCATCCTTGTCGACGGCTCTCAGCTTTTACATGCTGAGTTCAGTTTCTGCCTTCTGGCCTCCGGCTCAGACTCTGTATGGACAATAACAGTGACAGTAAAAGTTACAGTAACAGTAAAAATGATAGTAATAGTAACAGGTACAAGCTCCCTTTTGTTCCTGCAGCAATTTCTCTTTTCAATGCAGGACAAGGTGACGGGACTCGGACCTGGTTATTGGTGCTCATAGCAACTGTCAGTCAACAATGAAATACACGGCTGTACTCTTCCCAGTATGTATTGATTTGTATTTGGTGTCCTCTTTGGTGTGTTTTATTTATTTATTTTTTATTTCTTAACTTTGATACTTTGCCTTTTAGTTTTTATACTTGCTGTAGCATCAATTGCCCATTTGGGACACTAATAAATCTGAATGATACATAATAATTCAAACAGCCTTTAATAACCAGTGGTTGCATGTGTATGTCTGTAGTTTTTATGCACAATGTCAGTTCATGATTCATTTGATTAAGATCATAAAGTAATTCAGTTTTTCACCATAAATTCATCTCTTTACTGGAAACGTTCAGCAGTTCAGTCAGGAGGAACTGACAGATGAAGCTGGTTGTCATGGTAACCATGAGGAGCGGTTCTGTTCAGCCCAGAGGTCAAGAGGTTCTGAGACAGTTCTGTTTACATTGTGGTGGTTCCAAAGTGAAGAACGTCAGCAAGAGTACCAAGAAGATGGCTGCTGTTTCCGTCTCTCCATCCCATAATGAAATGTAATGCCTTTGAAGAAGCTCCACCCACTTCAACACCTGTCCCTCAGGTGGGTGGAAACTCTGCCTGCAAGATCAAAGTAGGTCTGAAGTTCTGGTTCTTCCAGAATTCTTCATCATGATGTCAGACAGCTTTTCTGCCATCTGCCATCCTCAAGAGGGAACTGACTCCGCCCCCAGGTTTCAGAGGCTCCGCCCCCTATTCACCACCTGACCTCAGGTAATTGAAGAGCGCCCCCAGTCCTCCCTCCATCGCCTCCTTCAGGGGCTTCATCAGCGGGTTGTGGACTATGTGGAGACCTTTATCCAGAGGATGGCAGGCCAGCTTCTCCAGGCGGGACAGATGGTGCATCTCCTGGACACACAGCCAAGATTATTATTATTATCACTATTGATAATAAGTGATGATAATGACTTATTTTTATTAGTAGTATTATCACTGTTATTATTGTTATTTGTCATGCTGGGTTCTAGTCTTTTAACCCACATGCAGAAAAACGAACAGGAGAACAGGTATCAGATAAATAAAGTTTATTCAAGCAATGTTGAAATATGCAGTTGTCCTGCGGATGGGAGCCGGGTCGTCTGTACTCTGAGGATGGTGAGGGAAAGATGGTGAGTTCAAGGTGTGTAGGACAAAGGAGTTCTCAGAGGTAAATGGAGTGATCTTACTTGAAGATGATGAGATTCCATCAGGGAGGTTTTACTGCGGTCTCGGGGGCTATGGACTCTTTGCAGGGTCTTTGAAGTGGTCCAGGTTTTGGGGCAAGGTTCAGACGGAGATTTCGTAGAAGGTAGATGGTAGAGGCTGCGGTGGAGGGCGGACAGGTAAGTTTCAGATGAGGAGACTGAGGCGTGTTCCGACTGCCAGCTGAAAATCCAGAAACTGTCTGTGGTTCTTCTGTGGAGATGGAAAGGGACTCAGGCAACCAGTGGGTAACAGTCCATGACATCACAAGGGGAAAATACAAAAGGCCAGGATCTTGGGCTACACAATGGATAAATCCAAGGCATCACGAGGAAACACCTGAAGGAGAGTAGAGAGGAGAATATTACAAGAGGTAATCTCAGGAAACTAGAAAGTAAGCTCAGAGGGACGCACAGTACCATTACTGGAAAACACTCAGGAGTCAAAGTGCTGGCAGCCTGCTCCTCATATACTCCTAGATGATGAGATGATAGATCACAAGGTGCTGGTTCAGAATGGTTTGACTTGGGACACATGGAATGTGGGATGGATACAGAGAGACGATGGGAGACGAAGACAGACTGTGGTACGAATGATGACTCTTTTGATTTCATAGGGGCCGATGAACTTGGGTGAAAGTTTTCTTGACATGGACTTAAGTGGAATATCACGTGCAGAGAGCCAAACCTTTGGTCCAGGTGAATACTGTGGAGCAGGGGATCTCATACGGTCAACGTAGCGATGGTTTTGTTCAGAAGTTTGATTGAGAGCAATGATGGTCCTGTTCCAGATATTTCTGCAGCTGTGGATGTGATGTTGTACTGAAGTGATATTTCTTTTTCATCAGAGGGAAAGATTGGTGGTTGATAGCCTAGAGAAACTTCGAAAAGAGAAAAACCAGTAGCAGCAGAAATGAGAATTGTGAGCGTACTTGACCCAGGGGAGATCCTGACTCCAATCAGCCGGATTAGTGGAGGTGAAGCATCTTGAGGGTGGATTCGAGTTCTTGGTTCATGCGTTCAGTTTGTCCATTTGACTGGGGGTGGTAACCAGATGTGAGTGTTATTTTAGTTTCCATTGCTGAGC